TGAGCATGCTCACAAAAAAAAAAAAAGCACTTCAAGGCCGTTTTCGGTCTCTGAGATGCGGTCGAGGCAGATACCTTAAGTAAATGCCTTGAGAATCCTGCTACCGCAGCGCGGGGCCTGGAGGACATAAGGAACTGCCCGCACACCGCCTTCATTTGAAGCAGCCTTCAATTCCAGCAAGCTAGCTGCTCGTAGCAAGCTAGCTGCTAGCTTCGACCTGTCACCAGCTCAGCAGATTTCAGGCATGCACCTGCTCCCTTTGAAATGACTCACGTTTCGTGACATGGGAGGAGTGCAAAACCACGGCAGTGCACGCGCACGCATTTGCGAGTGCGCGCGTGCTTGATCCCACTTCTCTATGCCTCAGTAAGATGCTGAAGAACATGAGTTTGCAGGGCACTGCCAGCCAGGAAGCGAGACGAGTTGCATCTGATCGAGGTGCAGGAGTGCGGCGGCGAATCCGCAAAACATGCGTGGAAAGTTGCACAGAAGGCAGAAACGCTTTTGAGGGCCTTTAGTTCCGTAGAAGAATCAAAACGGAAAATCCAATGGCTGGAACACTCTTAGTCAAAGATGGTGCCAAGCATGTGCCTCACATTTGCAAAATGACTCTGCCGTATGGATAGTGAAGGCCTCTGCCTGCTTCATCTGCTTCTCTTTCTGCTTCCATTCCTCCCTCAGCAAGTAGAGCAAAGTAAAGGCATTCGGCATCTTGATCCAAGTGCTCGTGCCTACTGTTGTGGGGCATCCACGCAGACAAAAACTCTGTCTTGAACACACTCTTGCTGGCTGTGCGCCGCTGTTTGTCAAGGAGGGCGTTGTCTCGCCGAACTTCCGCTTCAAGTTGGGAAGTGCGCCTGTGGTTTGACTTTTTGATTGTGCCAAGAACTGACTGCCAAAGTGGCGAGGCTGGTGCGTCTGATTTTCCGACAGGGCATGCAGCACCTGCTCCATTCTTTCGAGTCAATAAGTCAGGATGACTATGCGAGTCTGAACAATTGAAAGCCTTCTGAGTGGCATTGCCCACGTTTTGGATCCCGTCCTCCACCGTGCTCTGAATGTGCCTGAGAATTCCACGCAAGCACATGGCATTACTTGACTTTAGTGATTCTGCCGAAGCCCTTAGGTCCATGACCGAATACCGTTTTCACTCAGGGCATCCTCCAGAGATTTCTGAAGCTCCCCGGTTTGATACCTCTGAAGCAACGTTAGAAGACATCCGGAACTCACATGACCAAAGTTCTCTATATCTCAGGCTCAAACCTGTGCACCAAAGTCTTGATTCCCTGCCTGGGATTGTGCTGACTGGTAGGACATTCCTCTTCTCACACATATCATGGCCTCATCTTTTCGTCGTGAAAAGCTTGTCTCTGACGCTCAGAGTTGAGCCGCAGCACCTACGTGAGAACTGTTGCTGATTGAATTCTACAACATGGACCCAACTTGGCTGCTCTTATTTGCCCCAACATCCCCGACTAAAAGCTTCACTTTCAGCTCCATTACTATGGAAAAGAGGAACCCCAAAAGTGCTATGAACAAAGTCCTGAAATTGTAGCCACAGTCCACCCAGACAATAAGCAACTTTGCTGTCAAAAGAAGGATGTCATGCCAGAAGCCAGTCAAACAGAAGCAGTCTGGGCTTGGACATGAAGATCGACGATAGTAACAACAAGAAGCAGAAGGCCATGATAGCTGAACATAAGAAATGTAACCTTTCTCGCTTGTCCTGAGTACTAACTCTAGAAAGCATTCTTCACATGCTTGCGGCAAGATGTAAGCAAAGCTTCTGAAGAAACCTAACTTTGGCACATCGTACCTCCCGGCCTCGCGAGCCTCCAAGACCGCATCACGCTCGTGCTGCGGCAAGTTCCAGACGTTCTTGTTCCGGGCTGTCAAGTCACAAGATAAAAGTTAAAAGCGCGTCATTGAGAGCAGCTTCATAGCCTTCAGGATCATCCCACAGAAGTATTGCTTGGCCAGTTGCCGACTCCAACGAGGCCCTGGTTGCAAATCAATGCAAGCATCTGTTTCAAAAAAAACTGAGGGACAAGCAGTTCTAGCTTGACGCGGCACGTCAGTATGCCACGATATGCCTCCCCTTACCACTGTCACAGCAGTTCCAGGTACAAGGAGGTGAAGTGAATCATGGGCATTTGCGCCGTTCTGACGCTGCGAATGCAATTCGCAATGCTGTTTTTGGGCCTGCCCTGGCAACAACACTAGCTTCAACCTACAAATACAATGGCTCAGCACAACCGTGAGTTCAGATACATCCTGGGCTGAAGCTTAACAGAATACAGCGACTGAAACCTTTCACCTTTGATTTCCAGACATTTATCCTGAAGTCACGAAGCACAGCAGCCATGGACGGTGCACAACCCTCAAAGCAAGACACTTCCAACTCCAATGTGTTTCGGATGAGTGCACCACAAGTCGAATATCAAACCATGCAATATTGCTGAGATTTGCACCATCCATGTGCAGGGTAGTCGACCTTGGCCTCAAACGGCTGCTGCGTAGTCGCTTGCTGCGCAAGTACTGGCTGCTGCAGTTCCGGGAATCTGGCACGTCTGCCGCGGTGGTCTATAACGTGCACAAACATTCCCATCGAAAGCGTCTGCACCTCGGAAAATATATCTGCGGCATGACGAGGCACCATTATCTCTATTTTGAGACCACATCAGGGAACTAGTCTGCTCAAATTTCTGCAATTGCTCATTACGTGTGTTGCAGCTGGTGGCTGCTTGCCCTTCCCTCTTCCAGATTCATGATAAGAACAGCCATGCCTGAAGGGTGCGATTTTTACTCCAGCATTTGAGTCAATGGCAACTGGCGAAGCCAAGCTCTCGTTTTGTCGAATGAGAGTGTTGAGCCTCAGACTGCAAGGAAATGCTCCGAGAAAAGAGCATGTATGGCATCATCAGTGAAAGAAGACTCTTTGATGTACTGGGTCTTCCACACAGCTCTGTGCCATCCGTGGCGTGACACTTTCCACTCGGCAATGGTGTTCCCAAGACCTGCGCAGCGCTTCGGGCTTCAAGCACCGCTGTTTGAGACGAGAAGCTAACTCTTCAGGTTGCAGATGTTGCAGTTGCAGACTTTTCTGGTGTTAGAGACCTGCTCTTGCTGGCGCGTCAGTGAGTGCATTTAGCAGATATCCCTGAGCGGCCGCACTTTCAAAAAAGAAAAAGAAACGTCTTGCAGGACAGGAATGGTTAGTGCAAAACCTCAATTGGCGCTTGCTTCGACGAGCTTTGGAATAAATACATTGTTCGGCGTGCGGCTGCGTGTGAAGCCTGAGGCTCCCAAGGACTCAGATCATCGGCATGAGTCTTTACTACCGCCATCAACTGCACAACTCAAAGAGATTTGAGCTGGCTTGGTGCAGTGTGAGACAAGACATGGCGCAGCCGCAAGTGGCACAGTGGTTTTGTGACTTGTTGAGCGCAACAGGAGCAAACACCATGTCCGTTGAAAGACGGAACCACAAATGACGGTCAACCTACACTTCGGGCAGCATCCGATCTTCCGACTGTGCTGCTACACTGAGGATGCCAGCAGAATCCTTCTCCATCATCTTACAGAACTCATCGAAGCCTCAGCAAATGTCTGCCGTTCAAGAACCAGAAAAAAAAGCGCTGAAAAAATCGCGTAGAATATTCAACTCAAGGCATTCCAACGCCGACATGACATGACTAGGAATGTTGGACAAGCAGCTGATCTCTCCATTAGAGTCCAGATCAACATCTTGCACCATCTTCTCAATGTATGCCATGTTGTCTTCTTCCTGAAGGTTCAGTCATGAAGGTACAAAAGTTTCGGTGTGTTTCGCAGACAGTCCTTCAGGATCTTTGCCAACTCATCCTGCAGCAGCGAATGTCAGTGACTTGTCAGGTGCGTGCTGGGATATTGATGATACGAAACATCCTGCATGACCTTCGCAGACCGTAATACCACAAGACGCGTATGGTCATGCAAGATTTGCAACATCAACCAGAGCCGTAGTACAGATCCAAAGCGCCTTTGTGATGACACCATCACCGTTGGTGTCGAAGACACGGAAAGCTGCCCACATTACTTCCCGCCTGGCAATGATATTTAAAGGTCGAACATCACGGTTTCAGCCAGACCGGCCTCAGGTACTGCTTCTTTGTCAAGGTGGCTGCCATGAACTCTGTATAGTCAATGTTGCCAGATCCATCAGTATCGAGGTTCTTCACTATCTGCACCTGATCTGCAACACATGGAAACGTGAAAGAAAGACCTGGACCCTCTGAGCGGGCGACAATGTCGTCTGGCAGATCGGCCTTTGCAGTCCTCATACCAGTCTGAATCTCTTCCAGACCTGAAGCGGGTCAGCAACCTGAAGCTGCAAAGATTGAAATTGACTAAAGTCAATCCAGGTTTCTGAGAGTTCCGTCTCTGTTCTTGTCTAGCTGGATGAAAGTATCTCGAAGCTCCTCCCAACCGGAACTGGGACCCTCAACAAGCTTCGACTCTTCCTGGACCAATGGGATCCTTCAGATCATCATCCTTGAGCTGCTGGGCTATAAGGGTCAAAGCCACCTTCTTCATCCTGGCACAAAGCATTGACGTCGGTAATTCTCTGACTGCAGGAATCCACCCACCAGCCTAGAGTTGCTCTGGAATCGCTTCAATTTGTGACCCAAGTCCTGCGTTGGCCCAAGTCTTTGATTTAGGATATACTCCTACTTGAGGGGGATGGCCAGGAAATGTCAGGAAACTTGCGCTCCTTGGCTACAGCTCCTACCGGCGCGCTTGCTGAAGCAGTCAACCATTTGTGCGTCAACAGTGTGGAAGCGCTTGGCCTCTGGCCTAAGAAGGACATTGGGGATCAGGTTTGACAATGGCCACCTACCTGCTCAAAACAACAAATGGCGCCAGTACAATTGAGTGGCGTGGGTCATATGTGAGCATCAACTTGATGAACTCGATCGCGTCGCTTGAAACATCAGACCAATCTGCCGGATCAAATTTCACCTCCCCTTTCTTGACCTCACCAAGCTAGGCTACACAGCTGTCAGGCAGCTAGCGTGCTTCACATACAACTGCCAAGAGGTTAGAAAATCTCATCGAACTTGAGCTTGTATGCACGCAGGGTCTTGGGTTCGGTGCCATCAGCTCCCCCTAGCAGCGACTGAGGCAAGAGGGCACTGCAGGTAGGCAAGCGGAGAGAACTACAACACACAGATAGGAGACGCAAATGGCCAGTTCAGGCCAATGCTGATCCTTTATGGTCAAGCCTATTTCTAAGCATGCACGCATGCAACAAAATCGACGTCTCGCTACCTACTTGCAACAACTTAACTGGCAGCAACCAAGATGCCATTGCAAGGATTTCTTTGTCCTTTTCACCTTGCATAGCAACTTTACATGAAAGCTGCTCTATCATGAACCAAGTGCAGATAACAGCCAAAACACCGTAGAATGGCGGGTAACCTGGCTGCCAAAACAATTGCACAAAGTCATGCATGCACAGAGCAAGCTCACGAATGGCAAGGAACCACACATCAAGATATAGCAAATCACCCCACAGCTCCAGATGTCACACTTCTCGTCATACGCACCACTTAGCACCTTGTCACAGGCAGCGCGGGGCAGGATGCCGCACCCTTATAGCAAGCTTGCACGAAGCACTTTTGCCTGTGGCGCCACATAGTATGGGGTTCCAGCGCGGGTCTTCATGCTTGACCCACTGCCCGGAACAAAGTGTTTTGCAAGACCAAAGTCGATCACCTCCAAGGCGAATTACACTGAAGCTGCAGCAAATCTATACAACAACAATCAACTGCCATCACAGAGACATCCGACAAACGTGATCGCTGGGTACGCAAGTGTGGGTCAGTTTACGGCGGGGTCCGTCCTTCCGCCGGTTTTCAGCCCTAGCCTGACGGCCAAAAGTTTTGGTTTGCCCGCGCCCCAGGGCACGGACCATCTGAAGCAGCTCAAATCCCTGCGCCCTGCCAGTGTTTTCTGCATTCACACATTTCGGCATCCCGACAACATCTGCGGAACCATTTCACAAAATGAAGTCGTGAAATTCAACCCTCTCGGATCTTTTGGGGGCGGAATTTCAAGTTTTAGAAAACTCCCAAACCCTAACAAAACCCTAACAAACCCTAAACCCTAAAAGCTCGTAAACACCAAATAAACTTAGCCCTAGAAACCTCTAAACCCTAAAAAACCGTAAACCCAAAAAAAAAACTAAGCCCTAAAAAGCCCGAAACTGTAGACACCTCTAAAGCCTAAAATTTCCTAAATCCTAAAAAAAACTTAAGCTCTTCAAAACCCGTTTAAAATCCTAAAAACGCCCAAGCCCAAAAACACTAACCTAACCGTACAAAAGCTCTAAACCTTAAAAACACACAAAAGGCACCAAACTGCAAACCCTAAAGACCCCTACACCCTCAAAAACAAGAAGAACTAAGAAAACTTAAACCTTAAAAACACCAAAGCCCTAAAAACCCTGAAACACCATAAACCCTAAAAACCCTAAACCCCTAAAACCTAAAAAAACACCACTAGCCAGACAGTCCAGTACCCCTGTTTGAGTGGGCAAGGGCCATGGTCGAAAGTCAGATGTTGAATTCAGCTTGAGCATGACAGCTGATCTGGCATGATACATGATGTGTGGGCGAACCAAGACATTTGAGGGTAACCTGAGAGGTGGCTTCCAAATCTGTCAGATTCATGACGCGGCATGCGCCTTGATCTCCGCATTGGCATCTGTGTTCTGCATAAGGAAATTTTCTGGCTTGATGTCCCGGTGCACAAAATTGTTCTTGTGTAGGTAGCTCCTTGCTTAACGGACATCTCGACTTGCGAACTCACACCAGGCTGATGCACCAAGCTGCATGGCGCCCAATATCTGCTGCATGTAGGTTGCAGCGCCACGCTCATCAAAAGCACGAGCCCCATCCTGTAGGAGAGGATGCTTCTCAACATTGAAGGTTAGGAAATGTTGCAGACACAGCAGAGCATCATTCTTGGGCTGGCGCATGCTTTTCTGATTCAGCTACAATTCTCTCAAACAATTCTCCACCGGAGCAAATCTCCATGACCTCTGCATAGCTCACATCAATCATGTGATCACGCCGGAAATGCAAACCACTGGTGCAACTGCTCAGCTCGCCGCTAGGTAGAAGCGTTTCGCATCTTGAAACACCTTGTTGAAGATGCTGCAACTGAATAACTACAGTTGAGGAGGGCTGCTCAAAATGACAAGTTATGGCTGACACTTTCTTGAAGAGGCGCTTCATACAGCTTGACAATGTTCGGATGATCCAAAGATGACTGTATGTCCACTTCTACCTGAAACCGCGCCGGGTCAGAGATCTTGTGTCTGTTGATGGCCTCAGGGCAATCACAGTCGATTTACCGGCTGCTGAACAGCCCCAATCATGTGAATGCAGAGCAGACGGCAGCCTTGATGGCACGAATGGCCCCGGTGTCTTTATGCACACCTTTGCAAACCTGCCCATATGAGCCCTCTCCAAGAGCTTTCTTCTCAACCTGCAGTTTGGTTCAACAAGTACTTGCCTTGCAGGCGCTGATTCAGTTCAGGCATCATGTCATTGCAGCTCTGCGACAGAATACACGTCATCAAGTTTGTTGGGGTTCTCCGCACAAAACCTAGGAAGGGATCTGGACGTCATCTTAGTCTGTCAATCCCCCAATCGCACTCACAGTAGCAGAGCAGATCAAACCTCAGGCGCGAACGTATGTGAAAAGGTCGTCGTTGTGGCGCTCGTTAATTTTTTCGGCGCCATGCTATCCAAAAGTGGTTCTTTAAAATGCGTTTCGCGAACAATCCACCCTAGATCTGGGTTCAATTTTGCTCTGATCACAAAGCCAAAATGATGTCCACCAATCGCCATGACACGTGACGCTTTGATTTACAGTGTTTACACAGACAAAATATGTGTCACAAAACGATTATGGCCTGCTACATCATATGTCAATCCATCTTGCAATGTGATCAGCACTGTAAGCCACAAGTCAGGCCATAGCACCACTAATCATGAAAACAAATTATGCATGGCCGTTGGTTGCAAGAGCACATGCACAAATTCACATGCATGTGCCATGACCGGGACCCGAGCTTGAAGAACGGATTCGCTGTGGGCTCGCGTAGATAGACTTGGACACAATGCCACAAACACCTTTTCGGATGTTGTCCGCATTTTGCAAGTCTAACCACACCGCTGCCATGCCTAAGATCACCAGCAGCAAGGCTGATACCTGAGAAAAAGGGCAAAAGCATTAACAAGCTTGGGCTGCTAAAAACAAACACTTTGGTAACCATGGTACCTTGCAAGCAAATGAGGAAGGCCAACTTCTATGTGCAATGGACATGGCGGCACCAGAAAAGGCAACAGCGGCACACTCTTCTCGTTTGTTTTTTGCTGTACATCAACATGGAGAAGCCTCTGCTTCACATGCACAAGCTTGAGCCAGACAGGGCACGGCATGTCACTCAGTGTATGTCATTCAGTGCGTGCACAGTCCATGGCAATCTTGAACATTGTGCGGAGATTTTGGGGAGCCAATAAGGCCGTAGGGAGATGTTCGGGAATCCTTAGTTAGTTGTCCCATGTATATGGCATACGGGATTCGCTTCCAGGACTCCTTCAATTTGGGATGCTTGCATCACGCCGCAAAATCGATTCCATTCATGAAAAACGAAACATCCTAACAAGTCGCAAATTTCGCACGCATTGTATGCGCCAAAATTATCAAAGCTGAAATGTTTGACCAACATGCGGACAACGGACCAAAAAACTGCTTTTTCCTAATTTTTTTGATCCTACACAACAGTTTGAGAGCATAAGGAGACATGCCTGAACAAAACCAAGTCGAGCTGACCACACCTGAAAAGCGAGATGTGCCAAAATTACGGTCCCGCACATCACCCCAACAAATTTCAACGGTTGAGAATCGCAAATTTGTTAATCTAATGGTTTTAAGAAAAATGGAAAGCAGGAAAAACAACTCTTGGGCGTGCCCTAACACGTCTGTTCTGAAGCGAAAATCCGCTTCTCCGATTTCACGGTGACAAAAGTTGTTGGTAAAGATTTTCAACAACAGATTGGAGTTCGAATCTCTGGAAAAGGTGTAAATCTGAACCCTCGTGAATCGTAAATTTGACAACGGTCAAAACTTTTTTGCATTCTCCGCTTCATCTCCTCACAACACGTCAGACATTCTGGAGGGCGATGACAAGGTTTATAACAACAACCCCATTCTAGTTATATTGTGAATATGGGGTCCAAACTTAGGGGTTGGGGTGCCTGGTGGCTCAAACCCTTCTTGCTATTGAATGATGCAATCGAATTAGAACCCTCTCTATAAAACTCCGTTTTTGCAGCGTACGTCAACATGTACTGACATCACTATCCAACCTCCAAACGCGGCGAGTTGCAAAGGAACCTCCATATGGAAGTTCTTAAACATAAGGGGCCGTTAGGGACACTTCTTTAAGAAATTCCCGTACCCTGACTTTCTAAACAACCACGAGAACAAAATGCAACACATCACCCCGAAACGCGTCTTGGTCAGTTTGCATGTGCAAACTTGGGATTATTCAGAACAATACCGAAGAAGATTATTAAACATCAGTGGACCATGGGTTACACCGCTATACAGCAATGATGCCCGAAATTTGGATGAGTTAAAATTGCTAGTACGAGGCAGGTGCGACGGGAACAAAGCACGTGCACATATGCCCGAATCGAATCAAACCGGAACAGAAGAGTTTCATCTTCGGATTCAGGGTTTGTCGCAACATCTCGTCAAAGACTGGATGCAACGCAGTTTTGCGCATCTAAGCAAGCCGTTTTTGAACCTGCAGTAACCCTCGCAAGTTTCTTTGTTGAACGCATGCCACCACCTTGGCAGTAGTACTGGCGATGTTTTCATGACATTGGCTTTTACTGGCACCGACCGCAACGGTAGCCTTTGCCGATGGTTTCTGCCAATTGGCATGTTCTTCGTGGTACCGCCCCCGGATCCATTTTTTCTAGTAGTTTCTTGGCCGTTCGGATGACGCCCCTGCATTTTCTCGAGAACACTGACAACAGCTCAGAATTCTTTCTGGGATTGAAACATCAAAAACTACGGTTCCTGTTCGCTGTTCCTCCAGTTACAGCTGTCAAGGACAATTTCCCGTTATGAGCCCTTGAAAAAATTTAACCATGTTCTCGGAATTAAGATTCCGGAAACAATTGAACGTATTTATATTTTTCGTTTTTCATCGGACTTGAAATTCAGGAACAACATGAAAATCATTTTTGTTTTCCTCGGAATTGAAATTCCGGAAAAAGTGTTACGAATCTTTTTCGTTTTCTAAATTAAAACTCCGGAAAAAACTTGAACCATTTGTTTGGTTTGTCTCTCGAGATTTAAACTTCCGGAAAATGATTCAAAATGTGTTCCGTTTTTTCTCGGAATTAAACCTCCAGGCCTCCAGGAAACAGGTAAATTTTGTGTTCGCCTTTTTTTCCTCGGAATGAAAATTCCGGAACAAGTTTGAAGTATTTTCGTTTCTTCTCGGACTTCGAATTCCGAAAAGAAAATTCTTTTTCGTTTTCTCGGAATTAAAATTCCGGAGAAAGTTAAACATCTCATTCGTTGTTTTACGGAATCAAAAATTCCGGGAAAAGTTTGAAACATTTTTGTTTTTTGTTAAAAATACTTTTCGTTGTTTTCTCGGAATTAAAAGTTAGAATTATCGAAAAATTTACAGTATGTTTCGTTTGTTTTGTGGAATTAAAATTCCGGAAAAAGGAAAATATATTTTTCGTTTTTTCTCAGAATTTGAAGTCCGGAAAAAATTCAAGGACGGGAGAACGTTGCCCACCGAAACAAGAAGACGCGCTCCGAGAGAGGATTTGCAGACGAAACGAAATTTTGGAACGACGCGAACGGGGTGTTGCACGAGAGTGAAAGTATGCATGTGCGTGTGCGTGTGCG